ACTCTACAGGATCTCAAAGTTTAGGAGTTTAATTTCCTTTCTTTTTTTTCACAAGCCAACCAAATCTTGTCTGAGTTCATCTCTTTTGTCTAATACCTTGCTAAATAAACACAGCTGGTAGCAATCAGCACACATTATTAACATTCTGTTTACCAAGTGTGATGGTTAATTTTACGTGTCAACTTGACTGGGCTAAGGGATGCCTAGAGAGCTGGTAAAACATTATTTCTGGGTGTGTCTGGAGGGCATTTCCGGAAGCATTTGAATCAGTAGACTAAGTAAAGAAGATCGTCCTCACCAATCTTGGTGGACATCATCCAATTCATTGAGGGCCTGAATAGAACAAAAAGCCAAAGGAAGGACAAATTTGCTTGAGCTGGGACACCCTCTCCTCCTGCCCTCAGACATCAGCATTCCTGGTTCTTGGGTCTTTGGACTAGGACCAGGATTTACGCCACTGGCTGCCTGATTCTCCAGCCTTTGGTCTTAGACTTGCTCCATCATCTCCTCTGGTTCTCTCGCATTTGGACTTAGACTGAATTGCACCACAGCTTTCCTGGTTCTCCAGCTTGCAGTGAGCAGACTCTAGGACTTCTCAGCCTCCATAACTGTGTGAGCCAATTCCTATAAGAAATTTCCTCTTATATTTATCCATATGTATTCCTATTTGTTCTGTTTCTCTGGAGAGCCCTAACTACTACACCAATCTTGTCTCCTGGGCTCCAGGCTCAGTAGGCACACAATCTGCCTTCCTAGGAATCATATGTGGCACTTCTATCAAATGGATCTCCCGTGTCCCAGCTTCCAATATCAGTTTCATTGCCACCTGCTGCCTGCCCACTAGGTCAATACCACATGATTTAGAATTTTGTTGTGACAGCACTGTATATGAAGTACCAATTTCTGCTTTAGTTAAGGAAACACTAGCACTATAACAGAGTAACCCCAAAATACAGTTGCCTTAAAAATATAGAAATTTGTTTCTTGCTCAAAGTCCAATTGATGGTAAAGTTAAAAGGAAAGAGTACTGCTCCATGCAGTCATTCAGAAATGCAAGCAGATGGAGACTCTGCCATGCTTAACAGATGGCTACTACAGTATCCCTCGGCATCAACATCCAGGAGGAAGGAGCAGGGGGAATAGAGAGTGGAGGATTACTCAGGTGGTTTATCTGAGCCAGGTCTGGCACTGGTATATGTGGATTCTTCCCATGTTCCCATAGGCAGAACTTAGTCACATGACTACACCCTGCTGAAAGGGAGGCTGGGAAATGTAGTCTAGCTGTGTGCCCTGAGGGAAAAGGGAAGGATTTGGTGGACAGCTAACCAGTCTCTGCCACAATTATTTTAGGCCTGTCAGTTTCACCTGGGCCGAGGAGCTGAGGAACAAAGGAACAGAAAAGGCTGTGTGTCAGGTGTTAGGTCATACCTCCTCGTATCTAGCGGTGACCTCTGGTTTGTTAGAGGCTCAAAAAAAAAAACAAAGGGAAAGAAATGGCCAAAGTCCCACAGCTAAGCAGATGAGACCCAATACACTAAAAATATTTAACATTCAGGTTATATTTGTAAATAAAGAGGCCATCAATAATCAATCAAAAATGAATTTCAAATTTAAAAATTTTAGAAATCAGGCATAACTGCTAAAAACGTTTAATTTTTAAAATCAACCAAAACTACACAAAGTTCCCAACACATGGAAAAATATTTATTTTAAAATATTACCATGTAGACTTCCTTGTTAACAAACAAATCATCTGCACTCATTATAGGTCCACAGATGGCTCCTCAGGAATATCCCCCCAGGAATAAATTCCGCTTCATTTAAAATGCCAAGATACCAGTTGCTCCCCCTTCAGGTGCTCAGCCCCTGAGAAGAATGGGTTCCCAGTGGCTCTGCAAGGGGCGTGGAGGGTGGGGCAGGTAAGGAGCAGGAACTGACCACTTGGAGACTGAATTTCTAGCTTGGACCCCCACTAGGGATGCATCCTTGAACTGAAACAGCCTAAAGCAGCACGCTGCTTCTAGCCCTGAAGCTAAAGGACCTGCCGCCCCTACGCTATCCCGGCTATTAATGCACAGTGACGGCTGAATTTAACTGCTTTTCACTCCAGCTCAGCGCCAAGCCTGAGTAGAAATAATCCTTTTATCTCCCAATAAAGGAGAATTACCAGCATTTTGTAGCTCAGCTCTCTTTGAAGAGCCATCTTTAGAAGCGGGAGGCTGTGCATTTCCTAGAGTGGTCAGATTAAGGACGCTTTACACTGATCTCATTGGGAGATCGAAGGGCAGGTAGTTAATTATATTGTCACCCAGTTGCCCTGTGGAAAGTACTGCAAGTTTCCATTTTAAACAGATTCCAGAGCACAAATGTCATTCTTGAGAACTTTTCTGAAAAACCAACAAAGTCTTCAGGGCCATACTGTTTAGGAGCCAGCTGTGACTCCAGCAAATGGGGATACTTTGAAAGGACGCAATTCGGTCCGCTGCCTTTTTTACTTGCCTCCCATGGGTATAATCTCACTCTGATCATTTTTTGATGTATATAAGTCCTATATATAGATAACATTGTATAGTAGACTATCTAAATGTAGTAATACCTTCTGTTCACTTCCATAAAGGCAGCTCATGTTCCCCCTGAAATAATGTTAAAACCTCATTCATCCCAACTAATATTGGAATTGACATTCTCAGCATGGGACTTGGCATCTTGAATACATCCTCAAAATACAATAATCCTCAAAATAACTCTGTGAATTTGATGTTTTATGCCTCGTTTTTGAATTGGGAAACTGAGGCTGGGAATGGTAGGCAATTTGCCTAAGGTACACAGCTGGTAATCGGTAGAGCAGAGGGTGTGTTCAGGTGGGACCCTGAAGCCTGTATCCTTGACAAGATACCACCCTGGAAATCAGAGCTTTTCCAACCTTGCACTACCAATGTTTTGCACTGAATAATTCTTTTTTATGGGGACTGTCCTGTGCTTTGAAGGATGTTTAGCGGTATTTCTGGTCTCTACACACTAGAGGCCAGTAGCACCCCCTCCCTCCTGCCGTGACAACCAAAAATGTGTCCTGACACTGCCAAATGTAACCCCAGGGGGCAATATTGCCCCCAGTTGAGAACCAGTGCTATAAATGCTTCTGAAGCATTTGCTTCCTTACACCACTAAAGTTTTGTGGTTCTGTGAAATGCGTGGAATAATTTGAAGGCCCTAACATATACATAGTGACTAAGAGTGGCCTTACAGCGTAACCATTAAGAAATAAAAAATCAATTATAATTAGCATTTCAGTTCACTGCACATAAAAAGCCCCTATTCCTATTATTCCTGGTAACAGTTTGTCCTCTCCAGTGAGTAAATGTTCACACTGTGAAAACATTCAGAAGCTTCAGTGGCTCGTGGCTGCCTCAGAAATTCAGCCCTAACTCCTCACAAAGACATTCGAGGTCTTCCCACTTTGGCTTCAGTTCTTCTCCTCACCTTCCAACCCAAATCCCTTTCAGGCTCCAGCCAAATGAGATGACTCACCATGGTCCAAACACATCCTACATTTTCTTGTTTCCATGTCTTGGCTGAAGACATTCCCTCTGCTTCACACATCTTTCCCAATCCCATACCCTCACCCTCGGCTCCATCTTTGGAATCTCTGCATCTCCCCAGCATGGTAGTAGGCGGTCGACTGTCTTCTCTGTTCGTAATTGGTTTGCGTCTCTCTCATCTGAACCAGACTTGGGAAGAGTGTGTGATCTTTCCTTGTAGACTGAAAGTTCCTGGAGAACAGGAACTCTGTGTTAGCCTATTTAGTTTGGTCCTTGTCTCTTAGCAGATGGCTATGCTTGTGGGATTGTGCTGGATCGGATTGGAGAGAAGATAGAATAAATAGTGCAAAGGTAAACTTCAGACCACTTTCCATGGGGATTAAAGTAAATTTCAAATGTAAATTTCAAACAATGTAGCAAGGACAAGTGAGGACAGCATTTGGCCTCTAGTGTACAATCTCTCTTTCCCGTATGACTTGGATGCCCTGAGCGGCCCTCTGACCTGAGCCACCGCTAGGATTGTGCCCACTAAGCCCTAATCAATGCCACCTGGCTGAGGGTACGTGGGACTGGCATCCCGTCCATGCTTCCCTCACTGAGGATGCACTCTGGGGCAAGGCTGCACGCATCCAGAGGGAGGGCAACTTTTCCCAATCTTCACAGAGGCACCACATTGCCTGGCAGAAGTCCTGACAGTAAAGACTCTTCCATGGTGTCCAATAACTCCATCCCCAAATTTGCTATCTATCCACTCCTTTTAATAAGAGCTGTTGCACTGAATTCTGCCCACTTTAATCAACTTTTATTTTACCACTACTTCCTTACTAGAGAGAGGTTTATATTAATTCATTCAACAAATATTTATTAATCACACACTAAGTTTAAAGGATACAGTATTGAAGAAAACAAAGTCCTTGACTCCATCAAGGTTATATTCTCATGGATTCTTATATTTACCCCTCATGTGTTTACCATCAAACAACAGCCCACATAGAATTAAAGTTATATCCAGGCTCCTGTTTGGGACAGGATGTTTTTGAATATCCCTGGCTTGAGGTTTTATTGAGAGTGGAGTTTCTGAGTTAGATGAATGAGTAGTCTGGGGTAACCATTCTAAGAAAATGGCTTTGCCCTAGGCTGCTCAAGTGACCAGATGGGTATCTCAGCATCCTCCTCTGTGGTCACATGGCTAATTCGAGCTTCAGCTGATTCAGGGCATTCAACCAAGCCTCTTGAGAAAGACTGGATGTCCCAATGCATTGCATTTTATATTAAGCTGCAAACTGAGCAGTTTCCAGTATCCAGCCCAGAGCCATCTTTACTCTGAAAATGTCCAAGGGGTCCTCCTGGGCGTAGGTGAGCAAGATATAAGTGATCTCCTGACAGCCACGAGTCTAACCCGAGACATTCCTATTGACAGAAAGAGCTCTCCATTTTACCGTTCCCTTTTTGTATCTACAGATGGAAAGCTGTGCACCAGCTACAACCGAGGGCTCATCTCGAAGGCAAAAATCAAGGCCATCAAGTATAGCATCGTCATCATTCTTGGTAAGTAATGTCCCTCCTTCTGTCACAGAACTGTGTGAAAATTCCAAAAGCAAACCTGTACCTAGGACCTGGTGGCAGAGAGCCCACATAAAAAGGAATTTGTCTACGCACACTTCTACCTTTGTCTGATTGGAGTGGAATGTGTGGAACTTGTCGGTCCAACTGTGGCTCCTTCAAGGGCCCACATTTGATTCCTAATCTCTCTCTTTATGAACATAGTTGCCCACCAAGGCCATGGGGTGGATAATTTGGAGAAAATCTGATTAGGACATGACTAGCTAAAGCTGATGCTCATCATCACCTAGTTGAACCAGTTACTTTCTTTAAGGCATACTCTCCTCCAGGGCTAAAGTTCATGAGACAGAAGTGGCATTTCATTTCTTCTGGATATTTAATTTCAGGGTCACTATAGATCCCTCCCTGTGGCCGCTTTATCTTCTCCCCTACCCTCCTGTCTTCTTTCCTTTCCTTTTCCTTCCTCTCTGCTCTTAAGACCCATAAAGTCACCTCATCTTAGGGGGGAAAAAAGGCATTTCTAGAGCACCTAATATGTGTCAGATTGGTGTGTGTTTGTTATTCTCAACCTTTCAAAACTTTCTCTCTTTTATACCCTCTTAGCTAATGACCTTCCTTTGTATTTCACTAAGAAAATACTATATCAGAATAGAACTTCCCATTCTCCCACTTTCACGTCCATCAACCTATCTGCATCTCCACCATGTGCTCAGTCTTTTCTCCAATTACTGTGGATAAACTAACACTGCTTCTTTCTAAGTCCAAAATGCTTGCTGGAGCCCTGAATCCCATCCTTTCTGCTTATTCAAGAATTTTGCTCCTTCAGATATCTCCTCTCCCCCGCAAATGTGCCCCTTGACTGGATCATACGCACGTAAACATATTATTACAGCTCCCTTGATGAAATCTCCTGGTAACAGACCCAGTTCACCACCCTTTTTTCTAGCACATCTCCTCCACTCTTCAACTCCCATTCTTTGGAGGCTCTTTCTATTAACTATCTTTCCTGTTACTCCAGTAAAACCACCCTTATTAAGGTCACCACAACCTCCAAAATGCCAAATGTCAATTCTCAGTCTTCATCTTGACTTTCATCAGTCACTCCTTCTTAGAACACTTCCTTTGCTTAGAAATTGTATCTATTCCTACTTGAGATCAGTATTTGTATTTCTAGGAAGCTTCTCATACTCAGCATGTTAAACCGGAAGTCTTAGCATGTTCTCCCACCCACTGCAAAGGAACACTTCTTCCTGTTGCTGTCTCCATTTCAGCAAATGATACCATCTTTCACCCAGCATCCACACCAAAAACCTGAGGATCATCTGTCAGTCATTATTCTATTCCTCTCACATCCCACGTGTCTAGTTCATCAGCAAAGCCTGGAGGCTTTACCTGCAAAACAGATCTCAAATCTAACCATTTCTCAGCATCTCTACAACTATTACTGTCTTGGTCAAAGTTTCCACCAGCTTCTGCCTGGAACATTACAACTGGTATACTCTTATTCCTTTTCTGCAAAACAGCCAATGTGATCTTTTAAAAATGTAAATCAGATGCTATCACTACCTCGCAAACCTATCTATATCTTCCTATTATGTGGGAATAAAATCCTACCCTTTTAGCATGCCTTACGAGGCTGGTGTCATCTGTCAACCAGCCAAGTCTCCAGCCCATTCCCATTGCTCTCCTCCTTGATTATTCCCTACCAGTCACACTGGTCTTCTTGCTATTTCTTCAAAATGTCAACTTGTTCACACCTCAAGAAGGTTACACTATTCCCCCCAACCTGGAATGCTCTGACTTCAGGTGCTAGCGTGGCTTACATGGCTTACTCTTTCCAACACTTTTTTTTTTTTTTTCCAAAGATTGGCACCTGGGCTAACAACTGTTGCCAATCTTTTTTTTTTTCTGTTTTATCTCCCTAAACCTCCCCTGTACACGGTTGTATATCTGAGTTGCATGTCCTTCTACTTGTGGGATGTGGGACGCTGCCTCAACATGGCCTGATGAGCGGTGCCATGTCAGTACCCAGGATCCGAACCCTGGGCCGCCGCAGCGGAGCGGGCAAACTTAACCACTTGGCCACAGAGCCGGCCCCTCCTTCCATCATTTTGTTTTCCAACAATGCCACCTCCTCAGAAAGGCCTCCTTGACAAGTCTTAAATAGCCTTCTTCTAGTCTTTACCCTACCTTATTTTTCTTCATATTCTTACTTCTACCTGACATTATTGGATATCTATTGATTTGCTTATATCTGTCTCCACTGCTGGAGTAATAAATCCATGAGAGCAATGAGTTTTGCTTTTGTGTCCCTTACAGTATTATCACCAAGCCCTTAAATAGGGTCCCACACCCACTAAGTGCTTAATTAATATTTGTTAAATGAATGAATGAATGAGGATATGCAGAAAGGAAAGGGATTTGTGCTATTCCTTTTTCCTTAGCTCAAATGCTGCCCCTCCCTATTCCTCTTGCAGCTCTTCGGAGCTCTGAGAAAGCAGAGCTCTCATGTAAGCTGCGTGTCAAATCACAAAAGCAGTCAATTTCACCTTTCTAAAATGCAACTGAAAAATGCCAAACACACCGCATGCAGTGTGACTCAGCCGGCAGAATATAGGCACAAAACAACACTGCGGGCAGACCTGGGGATAAAGCAGATGCCACCCACCAGGGCTCACAATCCTTTCCTAGAGGCTTCTGAAGTAGATCAAAGACTCCCTAGCCTTCCCAGACAATCAGAAGCACAGATACACATCCCCTGGAGGTTGAGTCAGGAAATGTATCTTATACGTGTGTTCCTGAGCCAGCATAGCCCTTTGTAATCAGGAACCATATGCCCAGGCCCTGGGGGTCCTTTTAGTCAGAAAGCAGGGATGCCCATGAGAGGGTCAGCCAGTGTCAACAGCCCAATCAGACCAAATCGGCCCTCTCTATAACAAATATTTTGTAATGCCCTTTTATCATCCTGAAATGAAATGCGTACATAATACTATCTACTTAACATAATTCTTAAAAGACGAATATACTGCCTAAAAGGAGGACTGTATAAAGGAGGAATGGAAAGAAAATCGTTTAGACTAAGACAATACAGATTCCAATGTGCAAATCATTGGACACAGCTATCTCAGAAGAATAATGAAATAGTCAGGTACTTACACCCAGACTGTAGTTATAGCTACAGATAAAAACCAATACGGTGTGTTCTCATGAAGACATAAAAAACAAGCATTCTTGCTGTCAGTGATTGATTTTCTGAGCAAGTGAAAAAACCCTGGTAAAGTCCCACATTAAACAAAGTACTCTTTCCTCCATTTGCAAGGGAATTGCATTTCTGGAAGATTCAGTATTTATTAAAAATATTTGTGTTCACATCTATAATAGAGTTCGGTTTCTAGCGTGGAGTGGTTATAAATAGGCATCTCTTCTATGTAAATATCCAGTTGGGCATTCAAAGATGCATGGGACATGGCTGGGACTGCCTGCATTATGCAGGACGCCTGGTATCCCTGGAAAAACCAGAACCCCTCTCACACACACACACACACAAACACAGACACATTTTCCAAATGCTTCCAAAAGGCAATTTTGCCCCTCCATGCCCCAGAACCACTATTCTGGTCCAATGCCAGGGTTAACCACCAGAGCCCAGAATGTTCAGTGGTCTTTGTGTTTTAATCACTCCCCTTTAATACATTACCAAAATCTTGGGGGAAAAAACCTGTGTCAGTCAAACACTTATGAAGGAAAGTTGGTGCCTGCAAGCAGATAGTCAAGGAGGCCTGACTTCTCTGAGGAAAAGTCCTATGGGTGAGAAAGAGAGAAAAGTAGGGTGGAGAGAATGTGGCAAGAAAGTAGGAGAGCAGATGTGCATGTCTAGTCAACCCTAGAAAGGTTTACCTGTGTATGTGGGTGTTAGTCTGGGTTCTCCAGAGAAATAGGAGATAGATATATATGTAAAGAGATTTATTATAAGGAATGGGCTCATATGATTATGAAACTGAGAAGTCCTAAGATCTGCAGACCTAGGAGAACCGACAGTGTAATTGCAGTCCATGTCTGAGTCTGAAGGCAGGAGAAGACAGTCAAGCAGAGACAGTGAATTCTCTCTCACTCAGCCTCTTTGTTCTATTCAGGCCTTCAGTGGATTGAATAGGTCCACCTACATCGGGGAGAACAATTAGCTTTTCTTAGTCTATCAATTCAAATGTTAATCTCATCCGGAAGCACTCTTAGAGAAACACCCAGAAATAATGTTTAACCAAATATCCCTGCACCCCATGACACAGTTAAGGTGACACATAAAATCAACCATCACACTCTCGATCTCCATTTTCCATCCATTTTCTTTGAGGGTTTGGAGCTAAACAGAATCAGGGTCTCACACACATCAATTGATTTGGAGAGAAGTATAGGGTGGGTGTTTTCTGAAGTGGCTGACTTGGGAAAAAAAAAATTGAGAACACTGTGATTAGCCAGTCTGTGCTCTGAAAATATTAGGTACAATGCTTTCCCCTTGCCATACCCTAAAACCAGGGGTCACTATCTGATTGAAATGTTATCTGTTCTGTCTTTTCCCATAGAGTTTCCAAAGGGTTTTGCTGGTTTGCTTCTGCACTGTGTGGGACGAGAAGCTAAGGCCACACCAAGCAGTTCCCAGGCTTTCAATAGAGTCATGACAGTCAAATCAGACCCTCCCTTCACAGATAGAGAGCTCCAGGAAATTTAGTCAATTTTAGAAATGTGTTTGTGGGATGTGGACATTTGTATGTGTATATGTGTGCGTGTGTGTGTTTAAACAAACATGGCATTAATGTCAACACATGATATTAATGTTCTAAATATCCCTGAGATCCCAGGTGCAAAGGAATCTCCTAGTTGAAGCTCCCATCAGGGTCAACTCAGAAAGCCCCCTGGGCTGTGGCCCACTGTGGTGCTAATGACTCTCCTCTCCTCAGCCTTCATCTGCTGTTGGAGTCCGTACTTCCTCTTCGACATTTTGGACAACTTCAGCCTCCTTCCAGACACCAAGGAACGATTCTACGCCTCTGTGATCATTCAGAACCTGCCAGCCTTGAACAGCGCCATCAACCCCCTCATCTACTGTGTCTTCAGCAGCTCCATTTGTTTCCCTTGTGGGTAAGGGGCACTTCTGCCTGGGCCAGACACACTGATGGCCACTACACTCCCACTCCTACATTCATCTTCCTCATTCCGGAGCCCTTGGCAGGTTATAGGTGAGACACTTGAGGGTCAGAAAGATCCCGCTAGTGTGACAAATTCAAACCCAGGCCCCTGCTCTTTCTCCAATACTACATCACCTCCTATAGCAACCGTCTTAATCAGGTCACCTATAAAAGACCTCTCTTTTGTTCAAAGCTTCTCCTTATGAGTTGCCTCAATACAAGGCTGTGGTGATGGCAGGACTCAGAGCGTTATTACCATTTTACACATAAACAAATTGAGGCTCATAAAGTTAAGTGATATTATTGAGGTTATTTGAAAAATTAGTAGCAGAGCTGAAATTAGATCCCTCCCACTACTCAGTCATTTGGCTGTTTTTCAGCTGTCTCCCTACACAAGCTACAGGGAGTAAGGGGAGAAATCCATAGAAGATAGAATAGCAGAATGGTTTAAGTCTTGGGTTTGATGCCAGTCGCCGAAGTCCTGCCACTGCTGATTCATAGTTCCGTGTGACCTTGGGCAAATTATTTAACTTCCATAAACCTCAGTTTCCTCACTTGTAAAATGCGGCTAATAGCAGTGCCTACCTCTTGGGCAGTGATGTCTCTGTCCATTGGGCTCTGGTGCTGACCAGTGGGAAGGAGGACTGTGAGTACTGGGGAAGAAGATGGGGCATATTACATGTCAAGTGCTTAAAACAGTGTCTGATCCTTAATATATTCTCCGTAACTATTATCTCTTAACATCTCTATTTCCCTTTTCATCATCAAATGATTTTCCCTTCCTGTTTTATTCTTTCTTTAGGGACCAAAGATCACAGGATTCCAGAATGACATACCAGGAGAGAACCGAGAGGCACGAGATGCAGGTTCTGTCCAAGCCAGAATTCATCTAGACCCTGGGGGAGTGGTAGTGCTGGCTGAACCCCATCAGCTCTCCTGGGTCCTTGTCACCACCTTGGGCATGTGCATGAAGCCTGAGCCGACTTCTCCACCCTACTCCTTTCATCACCTGGGGGATGTACAAGGCAAACATCCTAATGAGTGTGTGTCACCTTCATTAGCAAGTATCAGCCAATATGACATCACCAACTACTCATGCCAGCCAGGAAAGATGCCCCCTCCTTCCCCACCACTCCCAGCTCTCTTTTCCAGTGGTCAGCACCAGAGCCTAATGGACAGAGGCATCACTGGCCCACGTGGTCCAGTCTTGGGCAAGCAGAGGGGACTGAAAAAGCATGGTTGTATATGAGTCTTCTACTTACAATTTAAGAAGTAAATGAAAGACTTACCGAGACCTAAATTTCCCCCCCATTTCTGGATTGGAGGTTCAGTAGTTGTAGCCAAGAAGATGTTTGTCCTTGAAATGCCAACAAATTCATTTCCAGGCATTGGCGCTTTCCATCTCCTCTGCAGATGGCCTTGGTTTGCAGATGGGTATGTTGGCAGCAGTCAACCTCACAATTCCTTTGTATCAACAAATGATTTGTGGAACAATCACAACTGCTGGCCCTCCAGAGCAAGGTAAAAATTGAGAGGAACTTTCTCTGATAGGAAAAGAAATAGTGCTAAGAAGTCATGGGCCCCAGACCTCTAGTCTCTGAGAGTTGGGACCTGGGTCTCATATGTCTTTAAGGCTCTCCAAAGGCTCCTCCCTTTGCATTCAACATTTGGGCCACTCTGGGCTCCATTCCTCACACCTCAGGGACACTTCTTCCCCTTTGAACTCTTTGAGCCTTATCTTAGTTAGAAGCTGAATTCCTGTGGCTTTTCCAGGCATGAGGTTTCTCTAAGCTCTTTATCGTTTTTGCACGTCGCAGCCCTTGTCTATCTCACACCTCGCCCGGGAAGCACAAGTGGGCTTATTTTGACAAGTCTGGAGTTTGGTATTTATAAGCATAATCCAAGTGAAATATGACTAAATGTTTTCTAGTCAATTTTTACCGTTGGATTTTTCCATAAGTGGAAGTGTAATAATTTAATTTGATTATATATACATCCCCACCCACGGCTCTGGGATGCGCCTGAGCTCCTTATTTTTAGCCTCACATACGTTCTTGACATTAAAATCTCCTTGGCAAAATCCTCCTTCCCAGAATTATTCTGAGCTTAAACCCTTTTTTTTTTTGGCCTACTGCTAGCAGAGTCATTAAAATGTGCAGTGTATTTTAATAGCACTCCATTCCTCATTATGGTGTCAACCCAGAGACTACATGTTTAAGGTCACAGTGGCAATTTTTCCATAAACTCTCTTTTCAATTCCATCTGACCTTAGGGAAAGTCTCTCCTTAGGCAGAGATTAGACTCCTCAGTCACCATTTCTCTGAGAATTATTCTCTGAATTTGAGCAGCATCTAGTTTGATGTCTACATAACAGTTTTGAAGGCTGCTTCACTCTCTGTCCCATTAGAGCCACCCTGGAAGCTTTGAGTGGCTGAGAAGTACTTTAAATCAAGATGTGCCACAAAAGACCTACAGAATCATTGCTAAAATAGCTGCCTGCATGGGAGCCAATTAACAGCAAAATCTGGCGAGTGTCCTAGATGGCAAAACAGGAGGCCTGGGTTCCCTTGACAGATGCTTTCAACTTCTGTCAAGTTCTGGTCTGCAGAAGACATTACATGCCTACCTCATCCATCAATAGATTCCAAAAGTTAAAGAGAGACTCGAGTGAGGGGCTTTATGCTCTTTAGGAGCTGTGAATGTGGTTTTGTATTTGTTGGAATGCTGTATCCCTTATTCCCTGAGAAGACTGGAGATCAGTAAAAGAATGGTACAGGTTGCTGCAGGATAAGCTGCCATTAAAATGAAACTTGCTGTATATATTGGTGTGGATTCTGGAATCCCCATTTCCATGTATTTGCTGAGCTTGAAGAAACATGGTTTAAAAATTGTGAGAACACTGGAAATTACTTGTCTTATGGCCTTGGACAAATCATTTAATGTCTCTGGGCATCAACTGGCTCACCTGTAAGATGGGAACAAAATAAGACACCAGAGCAGAGGGTCTTGTGAGTTCTTTACAGATACAGGTTCTGAGATTGAATTGGCCTAAATTGCACGCAGAGAGTCAGAGCTTTTGGACTTCTTTCCCCAGGGGACCTGTGACTCAGTGACTCAGTGCTGAGTCATTTGCCCTTTAGAAGGTGTAACTTCCCCAACTATCACTTTGAAGTCAGAGAAACATCATTTCCCAACTGAGAAATACAGTTGGAGCTCTTGGGAACAATGAGAAGCGTAGTGTTGTGATGTCACTGTTTGTAGCCTTGGAAGCCCAAGTGGGGTCAGAGAAGTCAACAGGTTGCTATACAAAGTACAGATACTTACTTCCCACACCAAGATGTCAGAGAGGTCTACGGTTACGTTGTCACAGAGCTTCAGGTATAGGTGAAGATTTAGCATAACCAGAGTAGGTGTGCTTAATATATTCAGCTGCGCTATAGAAAAAAAGTATTTCCACTTTACTGAACTAAAATAAATGTGAATGGTAAAAATTTCTCTGATTTCATGGCTTGTGTGAAGCATAATGTAATTGAAGTTTAATTTCACCAAGCAACATTTCCCACCTTTTTTCCCCAGAAAGTGGTAACACCTTTTTAATGGCTTTAATTTGTGATTAATCGTGAGAAAACAAAGTATCCCTTTTAAAGGAAACAAACATGCAGCTTGAACTTGTTCCTCACTTCATCTGGACCACTCTATCTACACATATACAGAAAGGACTTTGCTCTTCCTCCCGCATCCACAGTGTGGAAAGGGACCAAATCCTGGCTCTGCTGAGGAAACAGGAAACCAAAACTATTTTAGCAGGAAATAAAGTGATTCCGCTCTTCTAGAATCATCTTAAGTAAGCTATAGACATGCAGGCAACTACAGTTCTTTTACAATCTTTTGAATATGCCTCATTTTTATGCAGATTTACCAATATTCCTGCAGCTTTTCAATTGCATTTGATTGAAAGGAGATGGTTGTAACTGTGTAAGTGCCAACCTCCTTGCTTTTGGAAACATGAAAAACCCATGTCTCATTTCTCTGCCATTGCATTTTAAGGATGCATTATCCACAACAAGGCTGGTGCAATTAACATTTGAAAAGTGCAATTCCATGCTTCTAGAATGTTAAAGTGGTTGGAGGCTTGGATCTTCTAGACTCATGGTTTTCAGACTGCTCAGGGACCCCCTAAGGAGTTCCAAGGAGGTGATTCAGTACTGATATTCATACACACAACAATAGCATGTAAGTCTAGAGGAAGACAGATGTAGTTAAGTTGTTTAAAAGTTTTTGAATTACCTGGGATGATGATAGAATATAGGTTACCATTAGACATTGATACACCAAAAAATTGTTAGTGCAGTTGAGTCAATTTCGACTCCTAGTGACCCTGTGGAGCAGAACCCTGTCTTGTCTTTTTGTGCCCTTCTCTCACCTTCTGGCACTATATCAGACAACGCTCTGCTGCTATCCATAGGACTTCCATGGCCAATTTTTTTGGAAGTGGGGATCAGGCCCTTCTTCCCAGTCTGTCTTAGTTTGGAAGCTCTGCTGAAACCTGTCCACCATGGATGACCCTGCTGGAATTTGAAATACAAGTGGCATAGCTTTCAATATCATAGCAACATGCAGCCACTACAGTCTGACAAGCAACAGACAGGTGGTGTGGTTCCCTGACCAGGAATTAGCCCAGCCCAAGGCAGTGAAAGCACCGAATCTTAACCACTAGACCACCAGGGCTGGCTACACCAAGAACGTGTGTTGTAATTTCAAGAATGCATGTTGTAATCACTAAAATAATGGAAATGAAGAAGTACATAACTTCCAACTAAAAGACAAAGGAAACTGAATAATAAAATCACTCACACAGTCCAAAAGAAGGCAAAAAAAGAGAGAAACAGGAACGTGAATGGCTGGGCAGATAGAAAGCACACAGGAAGATGATGGGTTCTTTATCCAACTATCTCAGTAACTGTAATAAATGTAAGCAGATTAAATGCTCCAGTTAATAATCAAAGATTGTCACACTGGATTTTTTAAAAAAGCCAACTGTCTGGGGGCTGGCCCCGTGACTGAGTGGTTGAGTTTGCGCGCTCCACTGCAGGCGGCCCAGTGTTTCGTTGGTTCGAATCCTGGGCGGGGACATGGCACTGCTCATCGGACCATGCTGAGGCAGCGTCTCACGTGCCACAACTGGAAGGACCCACAACAGAGAATGTACAACTATGTACCGGGGGGCTTTGGGGAGAAAAAGGAAAAAATTAAATCTTTAAAAAAAAAAAAAAAAAAGCCAACTGTCTGTTGTTTAGAAAAGACATGCCTAAAACACAAAGATACAGAAAGTTTGAAAGTAAAAGAATGGGCCAAGGCATTCCATGGAAACAATACCAAAAGAAAGCCAGTGAGACTGTATTAATAAAGACTAAATAAACTTTAGGGCAAAATCATCAGTTAGAGTTAAATAGGGATACTTCAAATGATAAATGTTTTAGTTCAATAGCATGATATAATAATTCTAAATTTCTGTGCAATTAACAACATGGCCTCAAAATATGTGTTTTAAAAGTTGTCAAAACTACAAACCAATAGATAAATCCACAGCCATAGCAGGAAATTTTATCATACTTAATTCTAGTCATTGAGGCAGACAAAAAATTAGGAATAATCTGGATAATTTGAACAACACAAATAACACAGGCAGAACACTTACACGACCATCCCAAAATAAACAGTCTCTTCCAGCGCACGTGACACAGTTACAAAAGCCTACTACATGCCAGGCCAAAACACAAGCTTCAAAACTTTCGGAAGACTGGGCTAATACAGTCTAGTTTCTCCAACCTCAGTGCAATTATGCTAGAACTCAAGAGCAGGAATATAACTAGAAAATTCCCATGTGTTTGGAAATTAGGAAATATACTTCTTAATAACTTACGGTCAAATAAGAAAGCATATAGAAATTAGAAAACAGTTGTATTGAATGACAATGGAATTATATATCAAATGTGTGGGATACACATAAAATAATGCTTAAAGGAAAAGAAGAATTTAAAGTCAATGAACAAATCACCTGTCATGAAGTTCTAAAGATTCACCAAAGTAAATCCAAAGGATATATAAGGAAGAAAATAATAAGTAAAAGGAAAATTAATGAAATAGAAAACAAACATATAATTTAAAAGGCTCAATAAGATAAAATTCTGCTCTTGGAAAAAATAATAAAATTAATAAACCTCTGGTGAGACTGGTCAAGGGAAAAAAAAAAAAACGGATACAAATAAGCAGTATCTTTTCTTTTTTTTTGAGGGAGATTAGCCCTGAGCTAACATCTGCTGCCAATCCTCCTCCTTTTGCTGAGGAAGACTGGCCCTGAGCTAACATTCGTGCCCATCTTCCTCTACTTTATATGTGGGACGCCTGCCACAGCATAGTTTGCCAAGCCTCGCCATCATGTACACATCCAGGATCCAAACCAGCGAACCCCAGGCCGCTGAAACGGAACCCGCAAACTTAACAACTGTGCCACTGGGCGGCCCCAGCAGTATCTTGTTTTTTCCCCTAAGGCTATCACTGTAGGTCCTGGAGTCAATAAAGAGATAATAAGAGGATATTATGACCCAGTTTATCACAAAACAAACTGAAAATATAGATAAATGGGCCAACTTCCTATTATTAACATAAGAAGAAATAGAAAATCTGAGTATTACCATTACTACTAAGGAAATAATACACCTTCATTGGTCAATTCTACCACAATTTATGTATAAAGCAACACCAATTTTATACACTCCTTGGGAGACTAGAAAAATGAAGACTTTTAAAATTATTTATGAGACCAAAAAACCTTAACACCAAAACCCTACAAAGACGTTACAAAAAGGAAAATTACAAGTCAACATTTGTCATGAAAATAAATACAAAAATTCCAAATGAAATATTCACAGGGGCTGGCCCCGTGGCCTAGTGGTTAAGTTCAGTGTGCTCTGCTTTGCCAGCCCAGGTTTGGTTCCCGGGCATGGACCTACACCACTTGTCAGCAGCCATGCTGTGGCAGCAACCCATACATAAAATAGAGGAAGATAGGTACAGATGTTAGCTCAGGAGGAATCTTCCTCAGGAAAAAAAAATATATACATATATATTAGCAAACCAAATTCAGCAAAATATAAAAAGACAAAAACATGTGACCAAGTTGCATTTATTCCAAGACTGCAAAGTTGGCTTAATGTTAGAAAGCCACTCAAATAATTCGTTACACTAATAGATTACAGGATTTAAAAAAAACCAATGTATTATCAACTTAATAGATACAGGAAAAATGTTTGATAGAATTATTTGACATCCAGACATGATAAAAGATTTTCACAAACTTGAGATAGAAAGAAATTCCTAACTCTAAAGTTATGTACCAAAAGACCTAATGATGAAACTTTGAAGGTGTCCCCTTTGAAATAAAGAATGAGTGAAGAATGGCAGCATCATCACTTTTCTTCAACTCTGTACTGAGATCCCAGGCAATGCAGTAAAGCAAGCAAAACAAATAGATAAAAGGTATAAGGATTGGTAATGAATAATATAAACCAACAGTATTGGTATAAATGCACAGTGGAATATCCAAAATAATATACAGATAAATAATTAGAATGAATCATAAAGTTTAGTAAGGTTGCAAGATACAAAATCAACATGCAAAAATCTATTTCATTTCCACATAGCAGCAACAAATAGAAAATTAAATTTTTTAAATTATTATTTGCAATAGCCTCAAAAGATGGTGTTCTTAGAAATAAACTCATAAAAGGTGTGAATCAACACAGAGAAACCGTAATACTATTGAGAGATATTAAAGAAGGACTAATTAAATGTAGAAATAAAAATATCATGATTATTGTTTGAAGATTGAATATCATAAAATTATCAGTTCTTCTCCAATTGATCTCTAAGATTAATACAATGACACTCAAAGCTCCAACAGAAATTTTGTAGGACTTGACTAGGTGCCTCTAAAAATTTATGTGAAAATGCAAAGGGCTAAGAATAGCCAAGACGCTCTTGACTAAGAAGAAAAAGATGGGAAAGTTTGATCAACCAGATGCCAAACCTTATCATAAAGCCATAATAATAAAGCTTGTGGTATTGTCTCCAGAGTAGACAAATTAGCAAATAAAACAGGAAAAGAATCCAGAAAATAATGCCCGGATATAAGAAAACTTGATTTATTTCAGCGGTAGCATTGTGGAGGAATGGAGAAAAGGTGTTCTTTTCAATACATGATGCTAGGACAATTGGGTGTTTACATGGGAAGAAATTAAAATGATAGCCTAGTGGATTGTATGCAAAATCAGTTTCAGGTAGATTATGGATCTAACTGCATAAGACAAAACAAGCTTGAAGAAATAATATAGGAGAATATCTTTAAGATCTCTGAACAGGGAAAGAGTTCTCAATCAAAACACAAAAACCACTGCTCACAAAGGAAAAGATTGATAAATTTGATCACTTAAAATTAGAAACTCTGCTCATCAAAAGACATCATAAAAAGGGTGAAAAGGCAAGCTGTAGAGTGGGAAATGATATTCGTACCTCATACAACCGACTAAGATCTAGTATTTAGAATATATAAAAATGTATGCAAATCAGTAAGAAAAGAGACTAAAAGACAGAAAAACGGGCAAGACTTGACATCAGAAAAGAGGTTATCCAAATGGCCAATAAACATATGAAAAGGTGTTTAATCTCATTAAAAGTCAGAGAAAAGTAAATTAAACCACTGTGAGATACCATTATGCACCCACTAGATTGGCATAAATATCACAATAGCATGTGGTGGTGAGGATGTGGAGAATCAGAAGTTCTCATTCTGTTCTGGTGGGTGAATAATTAGTACAAACTTTCTGGAAAATTATGTGCCTTTAACTAGTAAAATTAAGGATTCCTATACCCTATGACCTTGACATTTCATTCCTGAGTACACATACTACAGAAGAGTGTAATTCTGTGCACCATGATATATGTGAAAGAATATTCATAATAGTATTGATTGTAAGAACCCAACTGAGGCCAAAAAAAATGCCCCTCAACAGTAGAATAGATAAAAATAGATTATGGTATATTTCACACAATGGAATACTTGACATCAACAAAAATGGGGAAAAAACCACACAGCTGCTTGCCACAACGTGAAAAGATCTTTAAAAACGTGGTGTGAAAGTAGACAAGACAGATATCAAAGGCCACTATATGATTCATTTATTTACAATTCAAAGCCAGCCAAAACTATACTATTGTGTTTAGGATGCACATCTAGGTGATAAAACGCCAAAGCAAAGCAAAGCAGTTACTTTCTAGAAAGGCCAAGACCTGGGGCACTTTGTGGGGAGGGAGAGAGCTGCGTTTGGGAGTGGGCACACAGAAGAGTGACTGGCAAGTTTCTATTTCCTGATCTGGGTGGCAGTTACAAGGGTGTTCACTATCTAATTACTCATTAAGCTACATATTTACGTTTTGTGCACTATTATGAATGTGTGTTATATTTCACAATAAAAAGAGTTTCTAAAACTATATTTTTAAAAAGGCTTTTAGAACGATTATTCTGGAAGCAGCGCCAGAGAAGGGAGCCAGACTGGAAACAGGGAGGTGATCAATTAGGTCTCAGTTACATACAAGAAACAGCAGAGTTGGCTGAAAGATCCTTCTGGGTTCCTTTTCTGCATTTGGAGCCAACATGTATCACTAGCATCCAGTAACAGGAATATTGATGCCAACATTTTTCAAAATCCGCAGAAACATCTTGGCTCTTCCACAAAACTATGGGAGCCAGTTCAGCAGAAATGGATATCCATCTTCTGTTCTCTTCTTCCGTGTTGAGGGGGCCTGGAGTCCTTAAGCTTTTCTCTTGGCCTCCCACCTCCAAGTCCTTCCAAAGAGTCTCCTCTCCCTTGTCTCCATCCTTTCTGCCCTTCCTCAGCCCTCATGGTACAGCAGGTTTGTAATGCACCTGCAAAGATGTCACTCCCAGCGGGCAGCTGAATGCAGCATTTCTCAGGAGAGGATTTGCATGTAAACAGGGGCCACTGGAGGG